CTGTCAACAGAGTGTTAACCAGAAAGTGTTTATTATTCTCTTACTGCCACAGTAGCTAACCCCGGTCTGTTTCTTATTAGAGCCAGCGGTGGTGCGGTGCACAGAGGTTGCTCTGCAGGCTTCGACTCTCTTGTGGGTTTACCGTCTGGCCTTGATCAGATTGTTGATTGACAGCCTCAGTGCTCCATCTGTCGAGTGGGCGGGGCTGTGGGGCTCCATATACCTCACTGCGGCTCCCCATTACCAGCAGGAGCAGGATGGAATCGTTGAAGTAAAGAATCCATCAGATGATCGGTAGTATGCGTTTTCGATGCAGCAGCAGGCCATGGCGAACCACCGCTGTTCGTCTCTTGACTTGAAAGCCCTACAGGGTCGGCATAAGGCAGCTGCAGTTTGATGGCACTGTCCACTGCCCTGCATTTTAGTTTTGAAAAGTATGCATACGGAGAGTGATTAGCAGCTGCAGTTTGATGGCACTTTCCGCTGCCCTGCATTTTAGTTTGCGGAATGGTTACTTGATTAACCATGTCGCCCTAAGCAAACGCATGCCCTTCTAAGCCCGTTGACTTCAGTGAACTTGAAAGGGCGTAGCTCTGCCTGCAGTGAGACTGAAAATCTGCATATGTTTGCATAGGGGGGAACCCAAGCAAGCTTTTTTTTAATTTTGAGTTGGCCTCTGTCACGGCTCAGGTGGGGTGTCACCTGACACTGCCACCACTCTGGATTTAGGATCCCTTGAGAAGGCCCAGATACAAGTTTGCTGAATGGTTACTTGATTAACCATGTCACCCTAAGCAAAGGCATGCCCTTCTAAGCCTATTGACTTCAGTGAACTTGAAAGGAAGTAGCTCTGCCTGCAGTGGGACTGTAAATCTGCATATGTTTGCATAGGGGGGAACCCAAGCAAGCTTTTTTAAATTTTATTTTGAGTTGGCCTCTGTCACGGCTCAGGTGGGGTGTCACCTGACACTGCCACCACTCTGGATTTAGGATCCCTTGAGAAGGCCCAGAGCACCCTCCCAAGACCTTCAGACCTCCCTTTTGTCCGAATAATAGGCGTGAGGACCAGGCAGAGTACAACAAGGAAAAGGTTTATTTTATAGGAGGTCAAACAACAAGGTGCAGAATAATAACAGTAAGTGGGTGAAAAGAAAAGAAATCAAATGCCCTAACGTGTCTAAATATATACTGTCCCTAGCTCACTATTCCAAGTGGCATTAGACTACTCACCCTTCCCTCAGGATGAGGGTTTCTTCCCTGCAGGAGCCTTCCTTCTAGCTCTACCCTCTGTAAAAAAGAACAGCTTTTTCTGCTGCTCCAGATCTTTTATTCCAAGCCCTCCTCTTTTCCTATTGGTCAATTTTGGCTCCAAAACCTCTCGGGCTTCTGGGAGCTTCATGGAGGTCTCCCATCCAAACACTAGCCAGGGCCCAGCCTCACCTACTGCTAGCCAGGCTCCCTGGGCTAGTAGGCCTCTGGTGACACAGCCCAGATCATGACAGCCTCTCACAGAAGGGATTGTGAACGCAGATCTTCTCTGCCTTCCCCCTACAGTCCTGCGCACCCCAGAAATCCCACTGGGGGCTGGAAGGCCATTTGTAAACAAAATATACTGCAGCACGAGGGGCAGAATTAGGACCGGAAGGTGGTAAATAAACAGGTGTCCACCATCTCCCGTTCGAAAGGATCTAAGGGAGTGAATACTGGGGAAAGTCCATCCTGTGCCTGAGACCCTAGAGAGCTTTGCTACTTAGAGTAGACCGTAGTGTGAGCTAGTGGACCCAAGACATCGTAATCATCACGGCTGCTGTAGAAGAAGCCTGGATGGCCCAGGTTAGCCCCGTCTCATCAGATCTCCGAAGCTAAGTAGGGTGGGCCCTGGCTAGTGTTTGGATGGGAGACCTCCAAGAAAGCCCAGGGTCACTACGTAGAGACAAGCAATGAGGCCAATGTTGTATATTCATCTTTTATAATTGAGCTCAGGGCTATTTTGGGGCAGGAACGCACAGGAACGGAGTTCCGGCTGGCTCCCAAGTTGGCCACGCCCAGCAGGAACTCATTAGCATAATAGGCCACACCCAACCGCAGAAACTCATTAGGATTGGCTACAATTAGGGGTGTGTGGCCTAACATGCAAAAAGCCCTGGGTTTTGACAACAAACAAGGTAAAGAGAATGAGAAGCAAAAGGTGGGTGTGGCTGAGTGACCACACTTCTGGTAACATGGGGGTGTGGCCTAATATACTAATGAGTTTCTGCTGTTGGGTACGGCCTATTATGCTAATGAGTTCCTGCTGGGCTTTTTCTACAAAAAAAGCCCTGATTGAGCTTAAGATCTTTGGTCATAGAAGCTAATAAACATGTGTAATTAAGCAATGGCAAACGACCTCTGTTTGCCTCTTGCCTTGAAAACCCTACAGGGTTGCCATAAATTGGCTGCAACCTGACAGTGCTTTCCACCGCCACCACCAGTGTTCCCTCTAAGCTGAGTTAGGGTAAGGTAGCTAACAGTTTTTTTAGCCTCCAGCTCACACATTTTTGTCTTAGCCCAGGAAGGAGGGCTCCAGAGCAAACTAATTTATGCAGTTTTTTTAGCCTCCAGCTCACACATTTTTGTCTTAGCCCAGGAAGGAGGGCTCCAGAGCAAACTAATTTATGCAGCAGCCAAATCGCTCACTCACAACTTTAATGCCAGTAGCTTGCAAAGAACTCTTGCTCACAAGACTCCACAGCTTAGAGGGGACATTGGCCACCACTGTAGAAATCTTTAGGGATGAAGGTGTGGCTTTTGCATGAAGAGATTCAAGGTCCAAGAGATTCAAGATGGAGAAGACCTCCCCCCCCCCAGTTTCTGGAATGCCCCCTGCTGACCAGAGAAGACAAGTCTGAACCAAATGGAGTGGTGTACCTTAATGCACAGCCATTTCATATATTCAGCTGGCTTCCCCAGTGAATTATTCCCCAGATTCTCTAATTCAAGGAATCTGCATGCATTTGGCTAACCAGGGTACCTGATTACAGGTTTATCTTTTCTGCTAATTTGGAATGCGATGAAATCTACAGGGTGTCAAGCGAATAGCATGCTGTGACTGGGGCCTCTTTTGCAGTGGGTCTATAATCGTGTTCATGTTTTCCTCTCCTCCCACCCCCAACTAGGGAGACGTGGGGCTTCCAGGCCCTGCTGGACCTCCACCTTCCACTGGGATCCTGGAATTCATGGGTTTCCCGAAAGGACAGCAAGGAGCAAAGGTCAGCCTCTTAAATGTTCTGGGTCTGAGGGTGCCTGTTGTGGTGCAAAGGGAGAAAAGCCAGATGAAACTGGAGAATAAAGACAACCTTCACACCAGTCTGGTTGATACTACTGTATTTCGCTTGCTGGAACTTGGATCCTGCTATGTAATTTTTGCATCATTCAGCGTGTCGTGTTAATAAGTTATGCTTTACTTTAGTTCTGTTTCTAGATTCCCGATGGGTTCCACAACCCTAATCCTATTGTATTGTTTATTGAATGTTCCATCCTGTCAAGAATGTTGACTCACTCTGTGTACATAAGAACATAAGAGATGCCAATGTTGGATCAGGCCAAAGGCCCATCCAGCCCAACACTCTGTATCACACAGTGGCCAGAAATACCAGTGCCATCAGGAGGTCCACCAGTGGGGCCAGGACATTAGAAGCCCTCCCACTGTTGCCCCCCCCCAAGCACCAAGATGACAGAGCATCACCTGCCCCAGAGTCCCTATCTATACCTTGTGGCTAATAGCCACTGATGGACCTCTGCTCCATATGCTTATCTAATTCCCTTTTTGAAGCCGTCCATGCTTGTAGCCGCCACCACTTCCTGTGGCAGTGAATTCCAAGTGTTAATCACTCTTTGGGTGAAGAAGTACTTCCTTTTATCCGTTCTAACCTGACCACTCAGCGATTTCATGGAGTGCCCACAAGTTCTTGTATTGTGAGAAAGGGAGAAAAGTACCTCTTTCTCTACTTGCTCTTTCCCATGCATAATCTTATAAACCTCAATCATGTCACCCCTCAGTCGTCGTTTCTCCAAGCTAAAGAGCCCTAATCCACCTTGACTCCAAGTGACAAAGGCAGACTGTAAGTAACATAAATAAATAAATGTGGAAAGCACAGGGGAACCCTTTCCCACTTGGTAAAGACCACCAAAGTCACCAAGCATGTGGCAGAAGAAAATAACACCAAGAGCAACCAACCACAGGGCAGAACGTCCTACCACATGGTAAGCCTGTATCCATCCTCTGCCACACCTGCTGCAGGTTTACAAGCCAGCTGGGTGACTGCGGATCAGCCACAGCTCTTTCAGAGCTCTCTCGGCCCAAAAAATAAGTCTAGCTCGCCACCTAGTGGTGCAGAACACTAAAAGAGCTAGAACTTCAGTCTGCCAGGCCATTTTAGGGTCTCCTGACTATACCACGCACAATGCCATACAATAATCAATCAATTAATTAATGACAAGCTCTAGTTTGGCCAAATTATGCTTATGCTTTAGTTTGCTTTGGTTTTTCCAGCTATCTTGACTCAAATGGCTTTCAGTTGCTTAGAAAGGGGGCCTGATCCTGACAGGACTTGTGGTGGTGGTGGAGGAGGAGGAGGCGGGGCTCCTATTGTGCCCCACCACGCCATATTCGAGAGCATTTGGGCTCTCGGAAACAGTACACACCCATGGGGAACAGGCATCCCTACTCTCCCCCCCACACACTTTTTTTTTGCTGTCTGGTCACAGGTGACTTATGGGGACCCCATTGGGTTTTCAAATTAAGAGACATTCAGAGGTGGTTTGCTATTGCCTGCCTCAGTGTCACAACCCTGGTAGCCAGTTTGGTGTGGTGGTTAAGTGCGCGGACTCTAATCTGGGAGAACTGGGCCTGATTCCCCACTCCTCCACTTGCAAGTGCTGGATGACCTTGGGCAAGCCATAGTTCTGGCACAGCTGTTCTTGAAAAAGAGCAGTTTCTGTCAGAGCTCTCTCAGCCCCACCCGCCTCACAGGGTGTCTGTTGTATCTGAAGAGGTGTGCTTGCGCATGAAAACTTATACCCAGAATTGAACTTTGTTGGTCTTAAAGGTGCCGCCGGACTCAAACTTTGTCCTGTTGCTTCAGACCAAACCACCTGAATCTGTAACAGGAATTGACACTCAACAATATGGTGCTATGATAATGCCATGACGTGCTTCTCAGTTATGAGATCTTTCATGTCACCAATGTGGTTTGAAGAGATATGCTGCAAGTAGTGGTTCAGCGCGGACTCTAATCTGGGAGAACCGGGCCTGATTCCCCACTCCTCCACTTGCACCTGCTGGATGACCTTGGGCAAGCCATAGTTCTGGCACAGCTGTTCTTGAAAAAGAGACATTTCTGTCAGAGCTCTCTCAGCCCCACCTACCTCACAGGGTGTCTGTTGTGGGGAGGGGAAAGGGAAGGAGTTTGTAAGCCGCTATGAGACTCCTTCAGGTAGTGAAGGGTGGGGTATAAATCCAATCTCTTCTCCCATAGTTCTGATAAGAGCTGTTCTTTTTTATTATTGTTTATTAACAATATAACAATCAAACAAACATAGAAAAGAAATAAAATTATAAAATATAACTATAAACTTCAATACATTTATGCTTGTTTCTTACACAACTGCGAATCTTATAAAAAACCATATTATAACAGTGTGAATCCACTTTCCATAAAAAGATATAAGAGCTGTTCTTGAAAAAGAGCAGTTTCTGTCAGAGCTCTCTCAGCCCCACCTGCCTCACAGGGTGTCTGTTGTGGGGAGGGGGAGGGAAAGGAGTTTGTAAGCCGCTCTGACACTCCTTTGGGTAGTGAAGGGTGGGGTATTAATCCAATATAAATCCAATCCAATCTCTTCTCTTCTCTTCTCTGGAGGTCTCCCATCCAAATACTCACAATGGTTGACCCAGCTTAGCTTCCAAGATCTGATGAGATCTGGCTGGCCTGGGCTACCCAGGTCACCACAGTCCCCATCAGGATCAGGCTCTCGTGGCATTCATAAGCAGAAGGAATCTCATCCCTAAAACAGCAGAGAGGTATCCGCGTGGTGGACGCAGGAACACCACATCTAATTTGGCTCTGAGTCTCCAAATAGCAGGAGGGATGCCACTCAGGAAGTTTTGGGGCCTGTAACTAGAGGGAAGCCTGCGAGGGGCTGGGCCCTTTTGAGATATACCGGGCGTTCTTTCTGAATTTCCAGTGATTTGGGGATGGTGGGGCAAATCTCTAACCTTTGGCTGTATAGGAACGTGGGGAATGGGCAGGATTTCATCTGGTCACCTCACAAAGGGATGGAGGAGAGAAGATTCCCAGGGGAGCTGTTAACCCCTCCCTGCCTGAGCCCTGGCTGGCCCAAGGTCATCCAGACAGGTGCAAGTGGAGGAGTGGGGAATCAAACCCGGTTCTCCCAGATTAGAGTCCGCGCACTTCACCACTACACAAAACTGGCTCTCTTGGGGGTGGTGGGGCAAATCTCTATCCTTTGGCTTTATAGGAATGTGGGGAATGGGCAGGATTTCATCTGGTCACCTCACAAAGGGATGGAGGAGAGAAGATTCCCAGGGGAGCTGTTAACCCCTCCCTGCCTGAGCCCGTCTTCATCCATCCCACTCCTGGCCTTCTCTCCCTTGCCCCACTCCTCCTTCCTTATCGCTTCCTCTCCCCCTTAATGTTGTCAGTGATGACAGGCAGCATCAGGCCGAAAATCTGAGGGAGATTTACGCTACTTTGGAATTGTTCCCAATCTTTACAGGAAGGAATTTGCCTCAGGAATACACTGAGATGAGGACATGGGGAGGGGAAAGTGAGTGACCGCTCTCACTCAGCCGGCTACTGGTTCCCTCAAGGCCACGTCCGTGTCTTCTCTACCATCTGGGACTAGGTTGTTTTCCACATGGGGAGAGGCTCTCATAGCTTTACCATTGTGAGTGCGGTTTCTTATACAGCGTAGCAGCAATGGGGCTTTTATGTGGCAGGTTTCCCTGCTCCAATCACCTTGCAGTGGCCTTTCTGTGTAGTGGTGAAGTGCGCGGACTCTAATCTGGGAGAGCCGGGTTTGATTCCCCACTCCCCAAGGCTACTGGTTCCCTCAAGGCCATGTCCGTGTCTTCTCTACCATCTGGGACTGGGTTGTTTTCCACATGGGAAAAGGCTCTCGTAGCTTTACCATTGTGATTGCGGTTTCTTATACAGCGTAGCAGCAATGGGGCTTTTATGTGGCAGGTTTCCCTGCTCCAATCACCTTGCAGTGGCCTTTCTGTGTAGTGGTGAAGTGCGCGGACTCTAATCTGGGAGAGCCGGGTTTGATTCCCCACTCCCCAGAGGCTCAAAAAGGTTGGGGACCCCTGATCTATTGCCACAATTTACTAGCTTCTCCAGCCCTTTTTCTTTGCAGCAGCAACACATTTCCACGTATATTATTTTCATTACAGGCCCACCACGTCGCTGGATGAAACACTGTTGTGACCAATAACGAGGTTGTGGTTTTATGTTTGTGAAGTTCCAAAATTGTTTTGTCAGATAATGCTGTGCTGGACAGATGTGACCCCTCTGTTTGGAAGGGAATATCCGTCAGAGGTCACCCTAGAATCTACAGCCTAGCTGAACACTTGGGACACCTGGCACTTAACCCAGTCTGAATTTATTTGCATTTTAATGTAAAGAATGTTCACCTTGTAGCTAGTTTCCTGTGGGGCAAGCTGACTTCGTATTTCCTGGGTCTCATCACGCCACTGGCAGCACATGGCACTCTAGTATTTGGGCATAAACTCTATGGCAGAAGCCTTTTTTTACCATTGAGTTTTTGTCCAGATACTAGAACATCCTGCGTTGCTGGTGATGCAATGACACCACCTCTGGTGCTCGCTGGAAGTGCTTTGCCAGTAAGTCCTCCCCACCAGCCAGCTGATCGGTGGCTGGGGGCAAGGGATCGGCAACCCTGTGCTTTTGTCACTTCTATGTAACATTCAGACCTGCTCTTCGGAAGTTTGAGCGACAAGGGCATTTTGACAGTGGCGTGAATTGCCGGGGGGTGGGAGTTATGCAGTGACCCTTTCTGTAGGTTAAAAAAAGTGTTAGGCATTTGTTGGTGCACTCCATTGACATCTCTGATCCTGTTTACATTTCTGGTTCCAACTGATAACTCAAAGAGAACTGTTTAGAGAGGAAATCCTTGGCTCAGACTATAGCCGAGCTGCTGGTAACGGCTGCAGTCTTTGGCACACTTTCTGTGGCTAGTTGTCAGGAATTTGCCCAAAGTGAGGTACATCCTATTAATCTTCAATGCAATGTTGCATACCCTTGCAAGGGATTAAAAACTGTTATCAGGTGGCTTTAAAAGTGAAGGTTTCCCATTTCAAGCTGCAGAGAAGAGAAGAGACAGTTCAAGCTGATTGTGCATGGGGCTTGGATATTAGCTTTGGGGAAAGTGCAGAAAAGGTCAACTAGAATGATAAAAGGGTTGGAACATTTTCCCTATGAAGAAAGGTTAAAGCACTTAGGGCTCTTTAGCTTGGAGAAACGATGGCTGAGGGGTGACATGATCGAGGTTTATAAGATTATGCATGGGATAGAGCAGGTAGAGAAAGAGGTACTTTTCTCCCTTTCTCACAATACAAGAACTCGTGGGCACTCCATGAAATTGCTGAGCAGTCAGGTTAGAACAGATAGAAGGAAGTACTTCTTCACCCAAAGAGTGATTAACACATGGAATTCACTGCCACAGGAGGTGGCGGCGGCTACAAGCATGGACGGCTTCAAGAGGCAATTAAATACGCATATGGAGCAGAGGTCCATCGGTGGCTATGAGCCACAAAGTATGGATAGGAACTCTCAGGCTGGGGCAAATGATGCTCTGTATTCTTAGTGCTTGGGAGGGTGCAACAGTGGGGGGCTTCTAGTGTGCTGGCCCCACTGCTGGACCTCCTGAGGGCACCTAGTATTTTTGGCCACTGTGTGACACAGAGTGTTGGCCTGGATGGGCCATTGGCCTGATCCAACATTGGCTTCTCTCGTATGTTCTTATTTATTCAGTTCTGCAAATGCTTAACTCCATTTGAGTCCTCATTTCCAGAAGGCTTGATCAATAATTTCCTGCAGTGTTTTGCTTTAAAGTTGCTGTAAGCGTTTTTGGACCCTTCTTTTTTTGTTTCTCTCTGAGAATTTGAGTTTTCCCAGGACAGAGATGTAATCCAAAGGCTACCCAAGATTTTAATCATTAGTTTAGAAATGTTGACATATCAGACTGTTTCTACTGAATCTCTGAACCGTAAAACTATGTTAACTCAGGTGGAAGATGTAATCTCTTAGGAAAACAAATCTGGCCAGAGAGGGCTGTTAGCACTTGCTTTTTACAGCCGTGTGTTTTGTCAAACGATCGTGTTTGCAAATTGGATTCATGGGTATTGGCTAAGATGCCAATATCATTGCATTGTTATAAATTATTATCTAGGATTAAATTGCACTCTGTGCTAATTTGCTTAGTCAAGAATGTGTTATGTGACCTGTTGTTCAGTACAGCTATGCTAACCTCATAGCGCTTGATGGAATTTCCTTGGGTGGAAGCCGAGGGTCAAATAATGTTATGGCTTGTTGGCGGCATGAAAATTTCACTACACAAGTGGGAGGGCGGAGATGGACGGACACTAGCCCAAGTATTGACTTTTGCCCTCCTGGAGTAGTGAGAACTGAATGGAACTCAGCTGCCTGAAAGGGCACAGCAAGTGATGGAAGACCTTTGTGTACTGACTCACAACTATAAGTCTCCTCTCACAGTCAACACATCAGCAAACAGACCAACCCCAGAATGATTAAAAACTTAACAAAACCGGCAACACAATATTAAAACACTAAATAACGATTTTAATCAGGGCTCTTTTTGTAGAAAAAGCCCAGCAGGAACTCATTAGCATAATAGGCCACACCCAACAGCAGGAACTCATTAGCATATTGGGCCACACCCCTGACAGCACAGCTCATTAGCACATTAGGACGCACCCCCCATGTTACCAGAAGTGTGGTCATCCAACCATCACCCACCTTTTGCTTCTTATTCTGTTTACCTTGTTTGTTGTCAAAAACCAGGGCTTTTTTTGTAGCAGGAACTCCTTTGCATGTTAGGCCGCACACCTCTAATGTAGCCAATCCTAATGCGTTTCTGCTGTTGGGTGTGGCCTATTATGCTAATGAGATCCTGCTGGGCGTGGCCAACTTGGGAGCCAGCCGGAACTCCGTTCCTGTGCGTTCCTGCCCAAAAATAGCCCTGAGTTT